CCAGGACTTGAACCACAGTCAGCCATATGGAAGTCCAGTGCCCTTAACCACCAGACCACCTGCTGGCCCCTCACCCTTCTCTTTTACATACTGTTTGCGTTTGTTTCCTCAGTCCACAGTTGAAGCATTTTTGGCAATTATTAAACCCGGAAAAGTCAAACTTCACCAAACAGCTAGTTACCTCTTCACACAGAGAACTTCACTAGAATGCTTTCTTGGGGGAACCAGCAGTTAGCGTAATGGCTATGTCGCTGGACTCCCACATAGTCGACCGCGGTTTGCATCCCGGACATGGTGGCTTAAAACTCACGCCAGGCGCGTGTGCGTGTGTGCCCAAGATCCCGAGAGGAGAATAGAGGAGAAGGGATTGCGGCGTGACCATCCCCTCTTGGGGGTAATTTCTCGCTTTCTGTCTCTATGTCTCTCTGTCTGTCTCGCGAACGCACATGCCCTATAGCGAAAACCTCTCCAAAAAAAAAATAGAATGCTTTCTTGGGACATGCATTACTTTTTAATAAAATGAGTGTTTTTCAGTAGATATGTTCCTTAACTTGTAGTGTTCAAAACTTGGTCTTCATTCTTGCCAGGGGCACAATATTGCACCTCAAGTACTATTTACACATGCTGTATTTTGGGGAGTGAGTTTTCTTCAGTTACCAGTGTCATCTGTAACCGGGGTAGCTGGCTTTACCAGCAGCATTCAAATGGTTAAGGTTGTTTTAAGGAAACCAGCAGCCTTGGCCCTCCCTCCTTCCCTTTCTCAACCAGTCTCTGGCTTCCGTTTATGGTTTCGGTGATGGCAGCCCCAAGGCTGCTGAGCTCTGCCTGCCGGCGTGGGCCCCTCCTTCCGTGAGAGCACATTGCCGGGCATGGGGGTTGAATCATGTCAGTAAAATGGGGTCGGTTTTACGAAGTACCTCTCGTAACAGTGAGATTCATAGGATCGAAACATGGGGAGGTAAGATCCTAACCTCTTTAATGCGCTCAATTCTAATAAACGCAGAAAGAGAGAGTGGAGGCGACTGTTTTCATGTTGTTTTGTTCTGGTCCTTAGAAGAATGAGGTTGGATTGTTGCAGATGATGGAATTATTTATTTTTTATTCAGAATTGAAGAGCATTGCAAGGCTGAAGAGAGAGTAAGCTAATTGCTATGTTTTTAACCCCTGGAGCATGCTTTAGATTTTTTAAGCAAATGATGAGATACTTTTTAGCTTAATGTTGTATGCATGGAGAAACCTCGTTAAGGCAAAGTTAAGTTAAAAGGAAGATTCTATTTGGAAAAAGCTCAGATTTTATTACTGATTTTCCTTAGAGCTTGATGTACTTCAGTTTTCTTAGAGTTTTACGTACTCTACCAGTTACTAATTTTCACTCAGTATAGTTCCCTGTTTTCTGTAAAGTGAAGTAGCTTTTTTTTTTCTTTCCTCTCTTGTTATTTTTTTTCTAGATAAAAAATATAGCAGTTTGGCTCTTAGATTTCATTATGGGTATCCCATTAGCAAAGGATTTCTCGTGAATCCTAGATCTAGCGAACAGTGCAGCATAGTGTATGAGTTCTGAAGAGAAAGAAGACCGAGTTCCACTTTTGACTGTTGATCTTTTGCTGTGCAGCGTTTGCAAGTCAGTAAACTGTCTGGCTCTTGATGGGATAGTCAGCGAACAGGAGCCGAGCTTGAGTCAGCCAAAGTTGGATCTTAATGCTGGTGGCTGTTACTGAGGTGTGGCCCCAAATGCATTGTTCAACATCTCCAAGCCTGAGTGTGTCCAGATGTACAAATGCAGGTAGCCAATAGTGTGTGTGTGTTGTGAGAAAATGCAGGTAATCGCTTACCGCAGTGCTCGGTGTGTTAACATTCACAATTTCACTTCTTGTTTATTATCTTTGTCACCCCAGTTGTGTTGGGTCGTTGGGAAAGTCTTGATGCACTTTTGCACAGAAAAACACACATCATGACTTCCCCGACGACCCAATAAAATGGGAAGCATGAGGCCCACCGTCGCCCACGTCAGTTACGGAGTCAGATGAAATGCTGTGCATGGAGGGCACTGATCGCAGACGCGAGGCACGTTATGATCACTAGCTTTGGGGCCCTCGCGCTCGAGCAATTGCTTTGTTTTAGATTGTAACCGTGGTATGTGGCATTAAGTGACACTCCTCCCTCTGTGACTTCCGTACTGAGCCGGCAGAAAAGTCCTGACACATTTTTGCATAGAAAAACATAGACTTTCCCAACAACCCGAGAGTTCTTTGTGATCCCGTTGGTCTTAAAGGCAGTTATTTTGTTGCTCCTGGTTAGCCAGCCAGGTAGTCTGCCAGACAGTGCCTGTGAGGACGTTCTGTGGAGGGCAGCATTAACCCCCACGGTCTTAGCCCCGGGAGGAGAGAGTGCGCCAGAAACGCTGCCTGCTGTAGACCTTTTGTTAAGGATCTAGCACTCAGCCGTATGTGTCAGGTCTTCAAGGTTTAAATTCCTTCCCAGTACCCTTCATGACTGTTTAAACTTTGATAACAACCCTTGTTAGATTGAGGCTTGATGTCACATGAAAGTCCTCGCTTTCGGTTGGCCTGTCTATAAAACATTTCTGACATTCTCGAATTGTACTCGAGATGACCTCATCAGAGTATTCTGGTACTCAGAGCTCCTGACTGCTAGCCTAGTGTCCCCTCCCCACCCCGTTTCGTCTGTCCCTTGCCAGCGTCCCCCGAGCTTCGCGCTGGGCTCAGCACAGTCAGCCCCGCCAGTACAAAGCCCCTGGTGCAGTGGCTGAGCGCTTGACTGTCGGTTTCCTGTGCCCACTCTGACAGCTCAGGGAAGGCCACAGGACAGGAAGGGTCCTTCTCCAGGAGCTGAGAGGGCAGGTCTTGGGGAGCCTTGTCTCTGCACTAGACACACATTCCAGCTTCTCCTGCCTTGCTGTGCCTTAGGGCAGAGGCCTCGGGATGTCCTGTCCCTGGGACTCCATTTTCTTAAAAGAGGTGACCCTATGGTAACTGTCTTGAGGGGACAGAGAAGGTGCTTTTCAGGGAAATGATGAGCAAAGGTCCTTCCACTCACTGTCTCCATGTTCCCCATCATCTGCTCTGTGCTCGGTACCATTTTCCTTTTGCCACTCCTTTTTTTTTTTTTTTTAATTCTCCCTCCTCAAATTAAAATTTTCTGTTCTTTGGGACCAGCACATGGCATAATGGTTACGTTGCTGGACTCCCACGTAGTCGACTACGGTTTGAGTTTTGGACCTGGCGGTTTAAAGTTCACGCTGGGCCCGTAAGCAAACATGCCCAGAATCCCGAGAGGAGAATGGAGGAGAAGGTATTGTGGTGTGGCCCTTCACTCTGGGGTGTGTGTGTGTGTGTGTGTGTGTGTGTGTGTGTGATTTCTTGCTTTCTGTCTCTCCGGCAAGTGCACACGCCCTATAGCAAAACCTTTTTTAAAAAAATAAAAATGACTGTTTCTCATTTCAAGTATTTCTGTGTGGGGTTAGGTAACAAACTACTGAAATTCATTTCAGTATGTTAGGAATCATGATTTTTTAACAACTTTCATTAAGTGTTACTGTGTGCACTAATGGCATGTTGCAGACACTGTGCTAAATGCTTTGCATGTATTGTCTCACTTAATTCTTCCAAAAAAAAAAAAAGTATGAGATGGGACCTTTCATTCTAACTCTCATTTTACAAATGAGAGAACTGAGGCTCAGAAATAATTTACTCAAAGTCACACCATCAGTAAGTACTAATAGTCAAGGCTAGATTCGAACCCAGGTTTCACTCCATTGTTTGTATTTTTTTCAATTTTTTTTTCTTAAGAGAGGTTTTTGCTATAGGGCATGTGCATTTGCCAGAAAGACAGAGGCAGAAAGCAAAAAATCACTCCCTGGGAATGGTCACTCCACAGTCCCTTCTCCTATTGGGATTTTGGGCATGCACACACACATGTCCCGTGTGAGTTTCAAGCCACCAGGTCCACGACTCGGTCAGCCATGTGGGAGTCCAGCGACATAACTGTTAACACCATCTGCTCACCCCAGCTGTCTGTATTCTTAACCACGGCATAATTAATCTGGCCTCCTCCTCTCATCCACTTCCTGCTCCTGGTTGGAACATTGGTCCAAAGTTAATATCCAGACGGCTTGACATTTGGATTACTAAAAGCTAGAAATGTGTATGTGGGTGAGATGTGGTATTTCTGGCAAGGGCGGGGGCAGGCATGTAGGTACCCGGTACATCAGGGTGTACAGCTGACGTGAGACAGTGACAGAGGGGCCTTAGTGTGATCGCTGTGCTCCCTGGTCATCTGTCCTCTTCCCAAAGCTGGGCCCAGAACCGGCGTTGTGCTTCCTTCTGCTCCCGGCCTGCAGCTGGGAGCAGTACACTGCCTCCTTCCCATGTGCACCGCGCCACGGCTACTGAGCAGACTTCTCCTTTCCCCATAGCGGAAGCAGCCCGCTAGCCTTAGTCCCTGGGCATCATGCCTGTCAGTGTAAATACCCACTGAGTAGGAAGCTGCCAGCCCTCTTCAGCCTGACCAGCTTCCATACAGTTGTTCTCATGTGTCTTGTGTGCTCACAGCTTAACAACTATTTTTGTGCAAAACATTGTTCCTTACATTAAAAAAAATTATTATTGTTATTATTTATTTTTTTCTCTAGAGATTTTTGCTATCGGGCCTGTGTGCTTGCCAGAGAAACAGAAAGTGAGAAGTCACCCCCCAGGGGTAATGGCCATACCAGTGTACCTTCTCCTTGATTCTTCTTTTAGGATTTTGGGCCCATGTGCACCGGGTGTGAGTTTCAAGTCACTGGGTCTGGGACTTGAACCATGGTCAGCCACATAGGTAGGAGTCAGCACCTTAACCACTCTGCCACCTGCTGGCCCCTATTGTTCCTTACTTTTGTCCAAAACACTCACCAACCACTTTTGACCACCTGCCATCTGTGTGCCCAGGTCAGGAGTGGGCCTTCTCATGTACAACAAATTGTTGGTTCTTTTCTTTGACAGGAAAAGGAAAAAGAGAAAGAGAAAATTAAGGAGAAGGAAAAAGATTCTAAAGAGAAGGAGAAAGACAAGAAGCTTGTCAACGGACATGCTTTCAGCTCCATTCCTGTGGTGGGTCCCATCAACTGTAGCCAGTGTATGAAGCCCTTCACCAACAAAGACGCCTACACGTGTGCAAGTAAGTGACGAGCTTCCTCCTGGCAGCCGGTGGAGCGCTGGGCTCGGGCAAGCTCCTTCCTCGCTTCAGGTCATCCCACCCTCAGCTGTCCCTCACTTACACAGAGAAGTAGCCCTTTTTGTATTTTCTTTAAACAACATCGAAGAAAGATATGCTAGAAGTATAGCATATGGCATGTCAGTGTCTCAACCCCAAATTCAGATTCTTTGTTCGGTTGTCGTGGAACCACTCCCTATTCCAGAGTTCTGTGTCCACATTGGAGCTGCCCATCACCTGGAAGCCTGAAGATGCTCAGCCTTCCCTTTCAAGCGCATGCATGCCTGTTTCTTGTTCTGGTACTTTGGCTTACCCTTTGTCCATTTACCAGCATTAAGTCACGATGCCTACCAAGAGGAGGGGGTACCTTCTAGTGCAGAGACATTCTATCATGAACTATTTCTGACTCACGTAGGAGACGTGAGCTTGAAGAAGCTAAGTTAACTGGGCATGGTTTTCCTGGTTTTAGTAGGATATTCTCAGGCCGGAGTTGGTCACCTCTCTCTGTAGAGGACTAGGTAACGACTGTCTTAACTCCCTATCTGCAGCCACAGTGCCCAAGTGGCCTGAGGTGATACATAAGCCAATATGGCTTCCAAGAACGTGCCATTCATGGACACTGAAATTTGAATTTCATAAACTTTTCATGTGTCATGTAATATTAAGCTTTTTTTTTTTTAAAGATTTAATATGTGAAAACTATTCCTAGTTAGGAGCCATACCCAAATGGACTATGGGCCAGATTTTGCCCACAAGTTATAATGTACAAATCTCTGCTCCAAAGCAAAATGTCAAGGTTTTGTTGGTTCATGCATAGAAAGCAGTCATAGTTTGTAAGTCGAGAAGACTGCTGTTGTCAGACGTGACGGGCCTGAAGACTCAGCCCCCCCCAGAAGGCCGAGGTGATGAGCCTCGTGTTAACAACTCTGACCAACTCAGACAGACGAGTGACTGTCGCCGACTCCAGGAAGCACGTCTGAGACCAGTCTCGTGATACCTCATTTCAGTCATTATGTTGAGAATTCTGAGTAACTGTCATTCAAAATGGTTACGTTGCTGATGTTTAAAAATTTCTAAAGATTACTTAGGCAGATTTAAAGCTATTTCTGTAGTAACTCCCACTCAACTTGCTTTCCTGAACAGCTAGTGCTTATCCACAGCCTGCCTTAACCTGTGCTCTGTTTTGCCTTTTTTTTGTTTTTCTTTTTTTTTTCTTTTTAAAGTTTTGATATAGGATGTATACATTTCCTAAAGAGAGACAGAGAGGGAAAGTAAGAAAGCACCCTTCCCCCCCAGGAGGGTCCCTTTTCCTTCATTTCTCCCTCCTTTTGGAATTTTGGGCATGCATGCATACGTTCCCAGAGTGTTCCTCCAGCCCCTGGGCCCAGGATTCAAACCCTGCAGTCAGCCATTTGGGATACAGCTTCCTCAACTTCCACACTACCAGCTGGCTCTATTTTGACTTTTTTAAATGACTGGTTTTAGCATGCTTTCTTGTAAAATGATTATTTTATTTTAATTAATTAATTAATGAGAAGTTTTTGCTATAGGGCATGTGTGCTTGCCAGAAAGAGAGAGACAGAGAGACAGAAAGCGAGAAATCATCCCCCAGGGGGTATGGCCACGCCGCAATCCCTTCTCCATTCTCCTCTCGGGATCTTGGGCACACATGCACACACACCCAGTGTGAGTTTAAGCCAATGGGTCCGAGACTTGAACTGTGGTTGACTACATGGGAGTCCAGCAATTTGCCATTACGCTAACTGCTGGTTCCCTTCTTCCTATATTCTAACAGGCCATTTTTCAGCCTCTGCTGTGAAGGGGAGATACGTCTGCTCTTCATCTGGGGAGTACTGTTCTCAGAAAAACGGGAAGATGTTGTTTCTTGATTGGCAGTATGAAATTAATAATCAAGGAAATTTGTCAGTAAAGCGGGCCAGATACGTGTTTCCTGTCAGTACTACAAAATATAAAAATACTGGATAAAGGACATTTTTTCTTTTTTAAATAAAGGCCCAGCCCAGTGCAGTGGTCTAATACTCTGTGAAAGGGCCAGATCCCACATGCATGAGCGCAGTTTGAATGTTGGCCCTTGTGGCTTAGAGGGCATGTGAGGAGCTTATGTTCACATTGCATGCTCTTGCTCTGTCTCTCTTTCTACCACAAAAAGGTAATAAAATTTTTTAAAAATGAATCTATAGCTGAACCTACCAAAAGGAAAATCCCTGAGTTAACTCAAAATCAGAACAGCAACAAGCATCCCCTTCCATTGGGCACAGGCCATGTGACCTCGGG